GGGGGAGCTACAGGGGGTCTCATGCCAGGCAGCTGGAAGGCGTCAGTCACCTGTTTTGGGTCTCAGGGGACAGGGCACCAAGCCTGGATTCCCCCCCAAGATGGACTTTGCTGTTCCCAATTTCTGTGCTAACAAGCTCTGTCCTACGCTGTGTTCCTGTGGACTAATAACCCTTCTGAGAGTCACGGCTGCCTGCGGAGTGGGGGGCAAGGCCCTTTGGGGGTGCACAAGGCTTCCCCAGGGGTCCCACCCAGGGGGACTCGCTGCAGGGAGCTCACAGGGGGCTGAACGCTCTGAGGTCGGACCCAGGAAGCACCGAAGCCGAGCAGGCTCCTTGCCCTGGCGTAAGGGAGCCCTGCGGGAGTCGCTGCACCAGAGTCCTGCCTGGCTTCACTCGGGGGTTCCCGAGCAGCCTGGGACTCCGTGACACCCCGGAGCCCGAGAGCCCCTCAGCTCCTCCCCCAGATACCCCCATAGCTCCTCCCCTAGATACCTCTCAGCCCCATCCCCAAATACCTCCTACCCTTCAGCCCCTCCGAGCTGCTCAGCCCCTCCCCCAAATACCCCCCAGCCCCTTCCCCAGCCCCTGGGAGCCCCTCAGCTCCTCCCCCAGATACCCCCAGGCCCTCCCCAGCCCCGAGAGCCCCTCAGCTCCTCCCCAAAATACCCCGCAGTCCCTCAGCCCCTCCCCCAGCCCCTGAGAGCCCCCAGCCCCGAGAGCCCCTCCCCCAGATACCCCCTCGGCCCCTCAGCTCCTCCCCCAGGCCCTCCGCCCTGCCCTGCACCAGCCCCAGAGTCTGTGCAGACAATACACCGCTCGGGGGGGCTGTGGGCTCCTGTCCATTGCACCCAGAGCTGGACAGACTCCAGCTTCTCTGGGACTTGGTCTCCAGTGTGCGCCCTGGGGGCAGGGGGCAGCAAGGCCAGGCGCGGGCAGCTCCAGGAGGAGGCCGTTCACAGCTCTGACGCTGGCCCAGCCCCTAGCACAGAGGGCAGCTGGCATCTCTCATCCAGCAGGGCCTGGTGGGGCTCTCACTGGGGCAAGGCGTCTGCCAAGGCTGTGGGGCCTGGTGCCCCCACCCTGCCCCAGTGCCTGGCACAGGCTTGTGAAGGGCAATGCACAGGGATGTAATTGGAGCCCTGGTGAGAGCTGCATGGGCAGGAGGGCCGGCTGGGCCAGCGAGGCCAGGCCTGGCCCAGTGCCGGGCTGGGGAGAAGGGCAGGCGGGGGCTGGGCCACGTGCACATAAACACGCAGTTCAGCGTCTGTACAGAGCCGCCCGATGCTCGCCTGCCCACACACTCAGCCCGCACAAGTCCCAGGCTCTGGCTACAAGCGCCCAGCTGTGGCCACAGCCCCAGCTAATCCTGGGGGGCCCGGGGGTTAGTGGGAGGACAGGCGAAGTACCTTGAAGCTGGGTGTTCCTCAGCTGCTGTGACGTTATTGACATAAACTGTGACCATATAGATCATCGTTGCAACCACTGTTATACATTTGCACCAAATCTTGTACAAAGGATGTCCAGTAAGGTGTCTATGGAAAGGTTATGGTTTGCTGGTTATGATTATGCTGTCTGTATGTGTGTATCAATAAATTAAATAAATAATAAATAAATTAATGGAGATATCCCATCTCCTAGAACTGGAAGGGACCTTGAAAGGTCATTGAGTCCAGCCCCCTGCCTTCACTAGCAGGACCAAGTACTGATTTTGCCCCAGATCCCCAAGTGGCCCCCTCAAGGATTGAACTCACAACCCTGGGTTTAGCAGGCCAATGCTCAAACCACTGAGCTATCCCTCCCCCCAATTTTGTAGTTGAAGTTATAAATATTGGCTATGTACTTGTATCTCAGTGTGTTTTGATTCTAAGTAGCCTCAGTGAAGCATTTGGTCAGCTTCTTAAGGAAGAATGCCCAATCAAGAAACACTTAACTGACAATGAACTTTGGGAGACACCAATCCACATCTGAGCTTCCCTGGGAACGTTCAAACTAACATGTAAACAATGGCGTTGGCCTGTAAAGAACTGAGTCATCATGGACATGTGACTTGCCTATGTGACTCCAAACTCCATCTTGCTGCTGTGATGTTCCACAAACAAAGGGGTCCTTCCATGGGCAGAGACTATAAAATGCCCTGAAAACCCCTCCATCTTGTCTTCAATCCTGCTTCTTACTTCTGGAGGAGCCTTGCTACAAACTGAAGCTCTGAACAAAGGACTGATGACCCATCCGAGCTGTGGAGGTACTCCAGAGACTTGATTCAACCTGCAGTTTATTCTATCACCGCTGCAAGCCTGAACCAAGAACTTTGCCATTACTGTATGGAATTGATCCCATTTAACCAATTCTAGCTCTCATTTATATTTCTTTCTTTTTATGAATAAACCTTTAGATTCTAAAGGACTGGCAACAGCGTGATTTGTGGGTAAGATCTAACTGGTATTTTGACCTGGGTCTGGGGCTTGGTCCTTTGGGACCAGGAGAACCTTTTTTCTTTTACTGGGGTATTGTTTTTCATAACCATTTATCCCCATAACAAGTGGCACTGGTGGTGATACTGGGAAACTGGAGTGTCTAAGGGAATTGGCTAGGCAGCAGATCTGCAGAAAAGGACCTAGGGGTTACAGTGGACGAGAAGGTGGATATGAGTCAACAGTGTGCCCTTGTTGCCAAGAAGGCTGTCATAACTATAAAGCTATAAAGGGAAGGGTAACAGCCCTCCTGTGTACTATACTATAAAATCCCTCCTAGCGAGAGACTCCAAAATCCTTTTACCTGTAAAGAGTTAAGCAGCTCTGGTAACCTGGTGGACACCTGACCCAAAGGACCAATCAGGGGACAAGATACTTTCAAATCTTGGTGGGGGGAAGGCTTTTGTTCGTGCTCTTTGTTTTGGAGAGAGTTCGCTCTTGGGACTAAGAGGGACCAGACATCAATCCATGCTCTCCAAATCTTTCTGAACAAGTCCCATATTTCAAAAACTTGTAAGTACAGCCAGGCAAGGCGTGTTAGTTTTATCTTTGTTTTCTCAACTTGTAAATGTACCTTTTGCTAGGGTGTTTACCTCTGTTTGCTGTAACTTTGAACCTAAGGGTAGAGGAGGGTCCTGTGGGCTCTTTAAGTTTGATTACCCTGTAAAGTTATTTTCCATCCTGATTTTACAGAGATAATTTTTACCTTTTTCTTTAATTAAAAGCCTTCTTTTTAAGAACCTGATTGATTTTTTTCCCTTCTTTTTAGATGTGCAAAGGACCCCCAGTCTTGGGCTGTAACTGCCCTGCTTGAAGCAATTTGCCACCTTGATTACATTGAGCTCATTAGCACTACACCAGTGATTTCCTCCCTTCTTGTCAAGAGTTGAGAATAGGCCACTTCCCCCTTAATTGAATTGGCTCGTTAGCACTGACCCCACACTTGGTAAGGCAACTCCCATCTTTTCATATGCTGTGTATTTATACCTCTCTACTGTATTTTCCACGCCGTGCCTCTGAAGTGGGTTTTAGCCCATGAAAACTTATGCCCAAATAAATGTGTTAGTCTCTAAGGTGCCACAAGGGCCCCTCATTGTTTTTGCTAATACAGACTAACACGGCTCCCCTCTGAAACCTGTCCTGAATTGATACTCTCAGTTGTGTCCCGCCAGAGGCAGCATCGTTCCAGTGGCGTACTCATGCTAGGAGCCACAGAACCAGGTCAATGAAGCTTTGGATCAGAACCCCACGCTATCCACATTTGAATTTTGGTATGAGAGTTTTGTTGGTTAAAGATCAGTGACCGTGAGCCAGAAAGCATCAGGAGAAGCAATGAAGCTGCAAGCCCTGAGAGCGAGCCTGCAGTCTGAACATAAACGCTGGCAGAAACGTTGATGAGAGAGAAGCAAGCCTTGGCCTAGCTGGAAAGAGAAGCTAAGGAAAGAATGGCTGAATTGGAAAGAGAGGAAAGGGCTCGTAGGGGGCGCATGGAGCTGCTGAGCAGAGGGCTGCCAAACTTGGGCTCCAAGTCAAAAAAGCAAGGGAAGAACAGTAGAAACTGTCATCTTGAAAGTCCTGTTTAGAACAATGTTGGTCTGTTGTATGACTCTGAGCAGTTTTCTGTATTTAACCCATTACGCTATGACCGGGGGAGGGGGACTCTAACCTGGTGGGAAATAGCTGTTTGTGAACGAAGTTTCTGAATGTCGGTCTAATGTCTCAGAAGTGAATCTGGAATTAGATGAAGCACAGAACGAATTGGTCAGGAAAATGTTTCTCAGGAGCAGATTAAAGTGGAGGATCAGGTTAAAGCCTTAACTGAGGAAGAAGAACGAGAAGTACTTGTGGCACCTTAGAGACTAACACATTTATTTGGGCATAAGTTTTCATGGGCTAAAACCCACTTCATCAGATGCATGCCGTGGAAAATACAGTAGGAAGATAGATAAACACAGAACATGAAAAAATGGTTGTTGCTATATCAACTGTAACGAGTGTAATCAGTTAAGGTGGGCTATTGTCAGCAGGAGGGGAAAACAAAACAACAACAACAACA